GGTAGATTGAACTCTGAGACACTTTGCCACTGAGATATACAGCTAGCCTTTCTTTAATTATTTTTATTTATTATTATGATGATGATGAGATAGTGTCTCACTAAGTTGTTAAGGCTGGCCTCAAACCTGTGATCTCTGGCCTCAGCTTCCCCAGTTTCTGGGATAACAGGTGTGCCATCACAGTGAGCAGCGTCTGGGTCATTTTTGAAAACTGCAGTTTCCTGGACCTTGCCCCGGGACCTGTAAAACCATATGACAGAATAGGTTGGCTCCAAGAAAAAGCTTTTTTTTTTTTTTTTTTAATGACTACCCTGTGTATTTCTTAAGGACCCTAAAAGGGGCGAAAACATAGATCTGCGCTAATCTCTTTGATTTGCAAATGAAGGAATTGAGACTTGCCAAAAGTCTCCCTGCAGGATCCTAAGAGAATGTTAACACTCCAAGGTTAAAATCCTCCCCAACAATCCCTTTCCCTTTTCAGCTATTTCCGTGTCCTCCAGCAAATTAATCTGTTATATAAAAATACGTGTGAAAGGGGTCAAAGTCACACATACTTCAAAGAAGTGGGTGTGAGGATCAAATAAGACCAAGGCCAGTTAAACACACAAAGGATGAATACGCAAACTGCCACCACCCCTTCCTCGGGCAATTCTCTCAGGCACAAGACGGAATTTTTCTTGACTGGGAGCAAATTGCGCTGTGAGGTTTTGCAAACTGCAGTACCAGGAACTGCAGAAGCCACTCAAGCCTGCATGTCCCCTACTGATTGATACCTCTGCTGCTGCAACTTGTGGCCACAACTACCCAGAGCGCTGCTGACATGGCCTTTCCTACAAAGGAAGGTCCCAGCTTGCTGTCACCCTGCTGCTCAGAGCCTCCCCAAATACCAGTGGGAGGAGTACTGCCCCTCAGAGGTCTAAGCCACGCCCCTTATAGTGGACAGAGCTCCAGCTGCTGAGCTGTAGCTCCTGGAACTCATATCTCCCAATGCCTTTGAACTCTAATTGAAATGAATACCACCTCTTCCTGGTGTCAGAAGAGTGATTTGTTACATCCCTCTTGTGGAATTAAGATATAAGGATCACAAAGAACCCATGCTAAAGTAAGATTCCATCCCTAAAAGAAAGCCATTCCCCTATTACCTAAAGCCATGATATAGTTTATTGCAAATATGTAAGGTTTCAGAATTATCTGTTCATTTTATAACCTGTCCCCCATAAACCAATACATAATTTACAAAGCCAGAAATGTTTAAAAATAAAATGTTCCAAAATATACAAAATTATATGAAGATTTCGGAAACAATGTCATAGATATTTTGCTACGTAAGTTTAGTTACACAGGTGTTAGAACAGGTTTTATGTTTTCCGTAAACCTCCTATTATCTTTTCATGAACTAACATTTTATCTATCAAAATCATTTGAATAAGATTTCCAGTGAATTTTAATTTTGTGGATTGAGAATTTTATGAACATGTTGACTTCTTAACATCCATGTTCTAGAAAGCGATGTTAAGCTTATTGTCTATTAAATCACTCCTTTGCTTATGCAGTGAAACGTAAAAATGGCAGAAAGAGAGAAATAAATTTAAAAGCCACCAGAGAAAACACTTCCAGTGGCAGGAACACATTCTTAGTGCTTTAACCACTTGTTATTCTACCCTCATAAGTCTTACTCTAATGTCTACAATCACAGGCTTCGACAATAGTGTTTGTTTCAAAAAAGACAACTTCACTTCGTTTCAGAGTGTTCTGAGCCTCTTAACTTCTGGCCAATATCTCAAAAGCGCATGAAATACTAGCAATTTAGCTCAAATGGTAGGAAGTTCTTTAGTACTTGGGACTACCAGGATAGCTCTTGAAAAGTGTCTTCAGATTGATGGACAATTACAACTTCAGTATTCTTTACCATCTCTTAATGGGCATTGAAGTTGTCACTGTCCCAGAACACAGAACCCGTGACAGGAAAAAAAAAAAAAACCCCACAAACCAAATCCTTATTATTTGGTAATCATGGCTTGCCTTACTCACAAGAGTGTGAAAATCGCTGAAGATTCAAAAAATGACAGTGAGTGAAGAAACTTTTATATAATTGGGGGATTTTTTTTTTTTTTTTTTTTTGATAGAGCAATCTTTCTTAAACCCCAGACCCACAGAAGACAAAGCAGTCATTTTATCTACTCTGGGTGTTTGTGTATACCTTTGGGTCAGTTTTCTAAAACTCTCACAGTATTGCAGTTAACTAAACACACCTTTTAAAACTGTTACTTTATATGCATCATATATCTTTCTGTCAATTGCATAAAGAGTTGTCACTATTGTAACCTTTATTCTCTTCTCCAAAACATCATCGAGTACTTACTTGCACCTTTGAATGCAGGTCCTGCATACAGGCTGCCATGAAAGTTTTACCCAATCTTCTTTGGTCATCAGTTTTGATGCATATTTCGGGAGTCCATACCATCTTCTTGTTCAGGATTGTAGATGTCTGAACACGTTCGGAAAATCAATTTAGGACAAGGGTATTTACTCTGTCTTCATCTGTAGCTTCTTCTTGGTTTTCATATTCCTGGGACCTGTCTCTTAAGCTGGGGCTGTTGACTCCTGGGAAGGGCCCAAATAGCTCACGTTTCCTGCTTCCCACCTACCCACCCAGCCAAGTGCCTCCTGAGTGTTGGAGCAGATGATTCTGCGGTTACCCAATCCTCCTGCCTAGCCATGGCTGCGGGCACTTTGGAGCCACTTTCCCGCCGCCTACTAACCCAGCTGCTTTCCTCAAGTTGTTGCAATTGCTGGTCCAGGACAGTCCAGTCCGCTCTGCTGGCTGCCCCTGGCGACCCACGCCCTCTAAGCCCCGCCCAACCCAACTTCCCTCTAACCCCATTGGGGTCCTTTTTAATACTTCCCGAGGAACTGGGAGAAAAGAAACAGGTGCAGTAGGTAATAAAGTTATGGGGCGTGGTCATTCTGGCCGGAAAAAGTAGCGCTTAAGGAGAGAAAGGGGGAGCGCTCCCCCGCCTGACCTTGCCATCCACTCTCACCCGCCAATTACGCGGAAGCCGTGGAACAGCTCCACGTCGTGGCCAGAGAGCGGCCAATTGGCTTCCGAGGAGGCGAGTTGCTGTCTGAAAAGAGAAGACGAGCTCAGGATCTCTCTGTTCATTGGCCAGGCGCGTCATTTCTACCGGGAGAGCGCGATTCCAGTGCTGGCGGGAAAGGTCCCTTGCAGTGGTGCTGGTGAGTTCATCGCTGGACTTGGAACGGACTCTTCCTCTTAGGTATGTTACCCCTTTGGTTCTGGGCTAACTGGGAGAATTCATTGGCAGAAAAATCTCGGGCTGGTAGAGAGCAGGAGGAAAAATCCTCTATTCCTGGATGCTTGCTATCTTTTCTAGAGAGGGTACCACGTGCAGTCCCTGGAAACATAAAAAGAACAGAGATAGGTGAAACGATGTATTTCTTTTGCAGTGCTTAACATGATGTGCTTGTCTTGCTTTCATCAACGTAAATTTACTGTTCCAGGCATGTTCTGCCAGGAAATTAAAAAGTTGCAAGTGTTTTTATTATTTATTCCAGTAACGTCCTCAGAGACCCAACCAGTCTTCATTAGAAGGCATCAAAGAACAGGTTGCAACTCAAGAATTCTTGAACCTTCTCCTCAAAATCCTAACTTTGGTATATCCACCAACCCTAAACTGTTACCCAATCCTATCTAATCCCCCACCCCCCAAAACACACACACTAAAGACCAGGTTTAAACCAGACTTCATAATCTCAATATTAGCCCAGCTTTGCTTTACCCTCCCCAGGAAACTACCAGAATGCTGTCAAGCTATTAGTCTCCATTACCTCATAAGCAATAAGCTTGGCTTTGTCTTATCAGCAGGTTGCTTTGATGACATTTCTGAAAGCAGACATTTGCCATTCTTGAAGACCCCTGCAAGACCGAATCAGCCTCTTCCACCTTAACCAACACCCCCCAACCCAGAATCAGTGTTCCCTGCTGAGGTCCCTTCAACCTCCCGTCTAAGAGCCCTCTGCCCCCAAAGCTGGGTAAAGTAGCTGTTTCATTAAGTTGAAATCCAGTTCCTTTTCGTTGTGTTTCCCAAGTGCTGAATCTATTTTGTTCCTAGGAGTAAGGAAACCTTTTAAGTAATCCTTTTGAATTATCTGCTCGGATTAAAAAAAAAAAAAATCTTATGGTTGGCGAAAATCTGCCTTATTTTTTAGCAACAATGCAGTTTGTCTCTGTTATTGTAAAATATCATCATCATCATCATCATCATACTTCAGTAAAAGAAAACTTCGTGGAGAAGAGAACAGGCATGGGCTCTGATAAATGTGTTTCCCAGGGCTCGCCCTGACGACCGAGACATTCAGAAGGTTTTGTTTTAGACTGATGGCGCTGTCTGAAATAAATACAAAATCAGATGCTTCCCTGGAGAGCCACCCGAGGCCAGGAACAGCCAGTCTCCCCCTCTTCCCAGAGGTCCAAAAAAAGCAAGGAACTGAGGGGGATGGAGGTGGGAGATGGGGTGGTTTAGGAGAGAAGAGGCCTGACAGGCAGAGAAGGCAAAGAAAGTAACTAAATGGCAGGGGCAACAGCCACTCACAGAAAGGTGGGCGGTCCTTTCAAGCCCTTAGTCCCACCTCCATCCTTTCTTGTCCAATCCGAGTTTAAGTGGGCGCACTCTCATTGGCCAGACTAGCTGCCTCTCTGTGGAACCCGGGCTGCTGACGTGCATTGGCGCGGGATTTGAATGCCAGCCCTTTGGGTGTGCCAGGCGCGCAGCAGCCAGGGAGCCCGGGGAATTGGTGAGCCAGCCTGGTGGGCGAGCGCTCGGGGTGGGTGAGCCCACCGGTTGCTCCGCAGGGTGGGCGCGGGCGCGCTGGAGCCTCTGGGTCTGGAAGGGGATGAGGCTGGAGGCCCAGAAACCTGGGCCAGAAGCGTCGTCCACCTGGAGGGTCCGAGGGCTCTGGATTTTCTTAGAAACTCATTACCAGTGTTTCTTGTCCCACTCTGTGCTGGAGAGAGGAGAGACGTGGCGGACAAGGACCAGGCTCGGATCGGCCGTGATCCCAGTTTCTGGAAAGCGTGGCTGAGCCAGAGAGAAAGTGAAAGCAAGCGAGCGCGCGCAGGAGCGAGCCGGGTGCGAGACTGTAAGAGAGGGAAGCGGGGGGTGGGGGGGGGGGGGGGGGGGGGGGGGGGGGGGGGGAGGACGGAGAAATAAGAAGACGCTAGAAGTATATCGAAGGAAGGCAAAGGAGAGGGGAACGGGGAGAAGGGAAAGGAGAGGGGAGAAGAAAAGAGAATATGAGAATGAGAATTCCAGGAGAGCTGTCAGGTGGAGATGGGATCCAGGACAGGCTGTATTACTTTTATCCCTTTAGTGTAGGAAGTAAAGCAAGTCCTTTAGGTGAGTAGAACCTAGACATATCCCACTATAACACAGGGTTGGAATAGGAGAGCGGTAAAGTCCTTCACATTTTGATATAACACAGTTTAGTGTATATACTGGAACCGATGTGTGGGGCGGGGGCGGTATTGGGGAGTATTCTTAACATCTTGGCCTTTTCCACTGCAGCTGCTCATATACAAGCCAGTAATCCTAAAATTCATATTTCTTTCTGCTTGATTTGTTTTCCTTTTGTAGTGGGTGTGTTAATTACTTCTGAAGCAATTTCTTTCTCAGACATCATTAGATGAGTCATCATCAACAGTGACACCCCACCCAAATTTTCTGCCTTCAAAGATCTTACAGCTCGGCTCAGTTCCTCAATTGTTTGTCTATTTTTACCACCTCCACCCCTTCTTTGATGTTTAAAAAGTATACCTTTGGTTAAGTGTTTACTGATAATAGTACTGGCAGTAATATTTACTGGGCAGCCTATTAAATGGCATTCACTGTTCTAAAGGACACTTTTTAATCTTCACAACACCAGAAGTTAATTCTAATAATGCCCTCATTTTAGATAAGGAAAATGATACAGGAAGTAGTTAATTGTTATTTCACAGGTCATGAAACTGGGAAGTGGCAATCTTATAGTTGAGCCCAGATGTTCTTATAAATACTGTCATTGATATAGTACATTTTCATATTCATATCTTGTTTAAAACAATTGTCTCTTTTTACAAACAGGAAACTAAGGTTCACATAGGCTAACTGGATTTCCTTAGAAACTCATTACCAGTAATTGAGAAGTTCCTGCACCATAGTGAAGTGGTTACAAGAATAAGCACAGTCTTTAGATGACTTCCACTTGCCAAAGAGTGCAGAGGAGAGTGCATAAGTAAAATGACAAGGGAAAGAAGCAATCCAAGAAGTGAACATTCCACAGCTTTTCTGTCCACTTTGACAGATCAATGCTTTTTCTAGAATGAAAGAGACTTAAAAGCCATAATTAAAGGCAACTTTCATACCTCATCTGGATTTTGGGTTTAACAAATTAGTGTTGTGATTATAAAAGAAAATGTCCTTCATTTTAGAAATAGAATATATATTTTTTACAAATAGCCAAGTAATAGAGATAGTCTAGGTGTCCATCAGCAGATGGATAAGGAAAATGTGGTATATAAACACAATGGAGTTTCACCCATCCATAAAGAAGAATGTGATTATGTCGTGTGTTGGTACATGGATGTAACTGGGGAACATCATGCTAAGTGAAATAAGCCAGACTCAGGAAGTCAAGGGTTGAATGTTTCCTCTCATATGCAAAAGCTAGAGAGAAAACAAGGAATTAAAAAGGCAGTGGGGGGGGAGGGTCTTATGAAAACAGAAGGGAGAAAAGTAGAGTGGAAGCTTATGTAAACTTTTCAGATTACTTTATGAAATCCCATTCCAAATTTCTTTTATCTTCAGGGTATTAACCAGTTCCTTTCCTACCCTTTTCCTTAAATTTTACCATCTCTCGCATCTCCATCTTAAATAGAGACCAAATTTTAACTCAAGGTAAGTAGAAGAACACACTTTTGAATTCTCCAGCTATAGATTTTTCTATGGGTTTTAATATTTGCACTTGGACAGATCTCTCTTCTCTAAGCTATCCTTTCCCCCAAGTTTAAAAAAAAAAAATCTAGATATAACCTCTTTCCCACTGTAGTTGGGATTCGCAGTTAGAGATAATTTTCATAAAGTGTCAAGTGTAGTGACTGACACATAATGCTCTATAAAAGAAAGCTTTTATTGTTGGGGTGATAATACTTGGTGGATAAATTATTTGCTAGGTTAATATCTCTGGGGAGGGCAAGGCCAGAGCTGAAGAAGGAAGTTCATCTCTTCCTCTACACAATTAATGACAGCTATGAAGATACTGCTGTAACTTGAACCTTTTTTAAATTAGTGTTTCAGCTGAACTACCTATTTCATCTTCAAGTCATCATGAGCTGTAAGAAACGCAGGTCACAGAAGAACTTGTTTGATGTGAAAAAAAACATGAAAATAGAGAACTATTTTTCTCAGGTATGTTTGTAAATACTATTTATGTAATGAATATGCTAATGTTAGATTTAGCCATCCTTGAGTCTGTATTGCATAAATCTTCCTGCCAAGAAATCATATCATTATATATTGGAAATATTTATATAAGGTAAGACCTTTCTCATCCACTTTCTTTTTTTATATATATATAATTTTGGTCATATCACACTAGCCCTTAAAAAAAAACTGGTAGTAATTCCTGGACAACCATAAAAACCAAATAACTATATTAAACTTTGGATAAAACAAAACCAAAATTAATCTATTTCATAGCACAGAAATACCATGCCAAGTGTGACTGATATACTGAATCATAATAACCTACATCTGTATAGTGCTTTGCAGTTTTTGAAACAAATTATTTGCTTGTTTATTCTTACCATAACCATGTTATTTAGGTAAAAGAGTTTACCTCTAATGTGTTTCCTTGAAAAGTTCCTATATGTGCCCAAGAATACTTTGACAAGTTGGAATTCTGTTACAATGCTCCCATGGGGTACATGAGCAAGATGTTTCTGACAGCATTAGGCTTTAGAGATGCCTTTTGAAGATTTGCACACGTAAATTTACATTATCTTGTGTTCTTTTTATCTCTTTGACCCAGACTACTAGTATTTAACAAATTTACCCTATCATGCCAGTCAGGTTGCTAGGTTGTGCTACACAATGATATTAGGCCTAGTCTTTACGACAATCCTGGCTTTGTTATTCCCATTACCAGAATGTAGTCTTGCTAGCATATGACCCCATGCCTGTTCATACTCTCACTGTAATGAGTAGGACTTCAGGAAAATGTACCTTTTAGACATAGGTACATTTTCCTGAAGTCCTATTCATAAGCAGTTGCTCTTAATTTTTCATTAATTTTTTTTGTGCTGTTTGACTAATCTTCTTTAATTCCTTCCCCTTCCCCAACTCCTGGTTCTTAAGATGATACCCTATAAAAATCAGTATTATGCATGCTTGTAATCCCAGTGGTTTGGGAAGCTGAGACAGGAGGATCATGAATTCAAAGCCAGCCTCAGCAAAAGTGAGGCACTTATCAACTCAGCGAGACCCTGTCTCTAAATAGAATACAAAATAGGGCTGGGGATGTGGCTTATGGGGCAAGTGCCCCTGATTTCAATTCCTGGTATCCTGCCCCTGCCAAAAAAAAAAATTGAGTATCATGAATGCAAATTTTACCAAGAAAAAATGTTTGGTGTCATGGAAAGGAATATTAGACTTAAGTGTTGGTATTCTGGCACTCACTTCATTTAGTGGTTATTACATGATGCTAGGAAAGGCACTAACAAGAAAAACTTTCTATACCTAAGTTTCTCCATCAAAAAGACAAAGAGAGGCCATATTTGTTTCTTCTCAAGTCATAGAATTTGGGGATTAATTGATGTCATAGAGGAAATAAGTTTTTTGCATGATAGGTTCTGGGTGAGTGAAGGTATTCATTATTAGAAATAACTGTTTGTATGACCATATAATTAGTTAGCTAATGAGGATTTTGTTTAAGATGTAAGGCCTAATAATAAATCATGGTGATGTATTCTTGCTGAACTTGGTATTTTTAAAAATTTTTTGTTTTAATTTTTAGTTGTTGATGGACCTTATTTTATTTACTTATTTTTATGTGGGTGCTGAGAATCGAACCCCGTGGCTCACACGTATGAAGCAAGTGCTCTACCAGTGAGCTACAACTCCAGCCCATGAACTTGATATTTTAAGAACAAAATTTTCAGTGCAGTTTATCACTGTTTGAGAAAAGTAAAAATTTTACAACTGAGAATAGTAAACAAGACATGAAGTGATACTTTAAGAAAGCTGGTAGCTTTTTAAGCATGTGTCTCAGAAAAATGCACCAGCGTATCATATTAGGAGCTTATCTGACTCATGTGATGTGACAGTCTGCTCAGCTTATATTCTAGAGCTGAAGTTAAACTCAGATCTAATTATATTCACTGGTTTTTTGACTATGAGTTTCCCATAGAAATTCTGTGAATTGCATATTTAAAAAGGAAACAAGCAACAACAACAACAAACTAGGGTTCTATTCAGAGTCTCAAGGTTTTTCTTCTAACATATGTTTTTAGGTCCCAAAAGAACAGCAGAATAATTCCGGTATTATTCAAATGAAGATGCAATCTAGAAAAAGGCCAAGAGATATAACTAACACCCAGGATCAAAGTTCCCACTCACCCAGGAAAACTCCAAAAGTCCAGACCACTTCTCCAAATAAGATCATTAATATTATCTTGGATGTAAACCTTAGAAAAAACAAGAACATGAAATATATGCTCACACACAGCGAGGGGGGCAGCTTGCTGGCGGGGCTCAAGACCCTTGATGCTGTCAGAAAAGCTATGGAGACTCGGCCAGGTAAGGAAATGCTGGTGCGTGGCACAGAAGGAATTGAAGGCTTCTTAAACCTTGGAATGCCACTCAGTTGTTTTCCTGAAAACAGCCACGTGGTAATTACATTTTCCAAAAGTAAAAGCAAGCAGAAAGAAGATGGCCAAGTATTTGGCCGGCTCAACCAGGAATCTACTGACGTGGTCAAATTTTACATTCATGCAATTGGGAAGATCAGAAAACGAATTGTGAAGCGTGGGGAGCTTCACAAAGAAGGAAACAAACTCTGTGTCTATGGTTTCAAAGGAGAAACCATCAAGGACACCATGTGCAAGGATGGAAGGTTTCTTCCCTTTTTGGAGACTGACAATTGGAAGCTCATTGGTAACCTGGACTCCATTCTAGAAAACTCACAGCTGATAGATGAGTTAGAAGGTAAGCTCTTTCAAGTTGAGGCTGATCAAGTAATGAACCCTAAGGCAGCAGCTGCTCAAAACAATGAGTTAGAAGAAAGAAACACCCGTGTGTTGAAAGAGTACATTGTGGAAGAGTATCCCTGTTTGAAAAGAGAAAGTGAAAAAATCAGGGAAAACTTGAAGGAAAAAATGAAAAAAAGACAGAAGAATACTTCTCTATTTAAATTGCATAAAACAAATTTTGGGAAACGCACAAAAAACTCAACTCCAGTGAAAGTAATCAAACATCTTTCACAATTCAGTGACTCAGTGGGGTACATATTCTGGAACAATAATGGAAATGGAGGCTGTGCCACCTGCTTTGTTTTTAAGGGATTGTTCATTTTCACTTGTCGGCATGTAATAAACGATATCGTGGGAGAAGGAATAGAGCCAAGCCAGTGGGCAGATATAATCAGTCAATGTGTAATGGTGAAATTCGATTATGAAGATACCCCAGTCACAAAAGACAACTGCTTTCTCGTTGAACCTTGGTTTGAGATATCTGACACAACTCTTGACTACGCTGTCCTGAAACTAAAAGAAAACGGACAAGAAGTACCTGCGGGACTGTATAATGGGATTGGTCCTATACCGTATAGTGGTTTGATATATATTATTGGCCATCCAGATGGAGAAAAGAAGCATACTGATGCTTGTGTTGTGATTCCTCAGGGTAAACGAGAAGAGAAATGTAAGGAAAAGATTCAGATGAGAACAGCAGCAGGTTACTATAAATCTGAGTTTATCCACATGTACACTCAAAGAAGCTTCCAGGAAATGCTTCAAAATCCTGATGTGATTACCTATGACACCACCTTTTTTTTTGGGTCTTCTGGCTCTCCGGTGTTTGATTCAAAAGGTTCCTTGGTGGCCATGCATGCTGCTGGCACCACGTGTCTGCTACTGAGTGAGAAGGCTCATATCATTGAGTTTGGCCCGGCTATGAACAGTATCCTCTCAAATATTAAGCAAAACCATGAAAGATGGTATAATGATGTATTTCTAAACCAACAGGATGTAGAAATGCCAAGTCAAGAGTACTGAGGACTGGTGAGAATTTAGTCCACTTACCAACTTTAAGGGAATTGCCTATTTTATTCCATATTCCATGGTCAATTTCATAAAACATATTAATAATCAATATTGCAGGCCACTTTCCATAAGCCAAGCATTTTTCTATCCCCTGGAGAAATAAGTTCCAAGAACCCTATGAGGAGGAGAGCTACCCCTATTTTAAAGTCAAGCAAAATGAAGACTTGATATGATTTAGCAACATTTATAATGACAATCTCCAGTAACTTGATGTTTTTTTCATTTCTTCCCCTAAATTCACTTGCTTCACAGCAGAAGCTTAGACTTGTTTACCAATTATCCCCCATATTTGACACATGGAAAGGAAATGCTTAGAAAAATGTATGGGTCAATCAGGAGCAAAATATGGCACTGTAGTTAATGTTAACTGAAGAGTTAAATGCTTGGTTAGAAATAATTACAAACAAAAATCTTTTACAATTTCTGAGATTCTCATATTATTAAATGTCAGAATACACTTGTCCTGGAAAGTCAGAAGTAATATCCACTCTTTGGTGAAGGTGTTCCTGCACCCGCTGTCTGACAGGGTCACAGTGTAGGGGATGCTGCGGCAGGGCCGCACCATCTGGAAACTGGAACCATTAGAAATGTTAAGTATTTTGTTTATGATCCCCATGATATGGATAACAGGGCATATGTCAATCAATAATAAAAGTACATATTGCCTGAGATTGCAGGAAAATTCCCAGAATGAGACTAAGGATACAATTGAGACATGCCACGAGGTGCATTTCAATCTCTCTCAGGATACAAACAATGGTGTTATTCCTCAAGCCTGAGCAAGAAGAAATATTTATCCAATGGTTAACAATTTACATTAGCCCCCCAACCCCATTCTAAAGCCACAACCTGTACAACAGCCTAGCTACAGAAAAACAATTGCTGTGCCAACAGTACAAGGACCACCGTATGTAGCTTATGGTATCCCCCTCGAGGACAAGAGGCTAATAAAAATACATTTCCCCAACCAATAGACCCTCCTTTGCCTTACACAGAAACTAATGATAAAAATGGAAAACACACAGTTAACATAAATGACAAATGGGTTGAGGGATAAAGCCTGCCCTTTAGTTAAAGATTACAAAGACATAAAAATTGGTGTGCTTTGACCAAGGATCAAAGAAGTTCTTTAAGAAAGTAGTTGAATAGATCATATGAAAAAAAGAAATTACCTTGGAAATTAGAAATAGAATAATGTAAAATTAACATAGATATATTTTAGAGGTACTTCAAAGTAGTAGGCTTTTAAATAATAGACTTTCACTATTTTAAGTGTGTTTTAGTGAGATTTTAGTTTAGAAGTAAGAAAGCTTACCAATAATCATAAGTATGCTTTAAAGTTAAAGATTAATGAAATAATTATAGGTATGCTTTAAAATCAGAAGTGAATAATAGGTCAGTAGTCATATAGTCTAGTTGCGTCGCTAGCACCTAGTGATTGAGGTGAAAACATAAAAGCTTAATCATGATTGACTAAGGTTACAGAAAAATATTTTGAACAATGTACTCAATATCTTAGGTAATCAATGTATGTAGAAAAGATTGTAATTCTTGAAAATTATGTAAATCAAAAAAGTTTCGTGCTTTGAAGCTATCCATTAACTACCTGAAAAAAACACCTGTAAAAAAGGAATAAAAATAAAGGTCCCTCCAGGGGCAGCAGAGATGTCTTCTGGAGGTTGCTCGGAACTTGCAACCTGTCGTCCCGACTCTTCTTCTTTCGACCACTCCTCCTTCAGGGCCCCTGGAACCCCACTCCCCCTGGCCGGGGCTGGACCTCGGCAACTCTTCCCATATGAACAGGCTACGAGGACAAGGGCATCTAAGAAGGTCATATTCCTTTATTCTGATTTCCTTTGTTTTAACCTAAGGTCCTTTTTTCTGTTCCAAGATCCCACCCAGTGTAGGCATCACATTTAACTTTCATGTCCGTAGGCTCCTCTTGGTTGTGACAGTTTCTCAGACTTCTTGGTTTTAAGGCTGCCCGTCTATTAGAATTTGACAGATGCTTTTCTGATGGGACTGGGTTGTAGACTGGGGAGGAAGTTTATAGAATGAAGTATCATTCTCACCCTACCAAGGGATCATACTGTCAACATGATCCATCATTGGTGCTGGCCTTTGTCCCCCGGCTAAAATGGTGTTTTATCATTCACGTATTACCCTACATGGTATTCTTTGGGAGAAAGTTACTATGCACAACCCATGTTTGTGAAGTAGAGACTTAGGTTCTCCTTCCTTAGGTAGGGGACTCCTGGAGAATCTACATAATTTATTTGGGATCATTTTGCATGGAGATTTGTCTCTTTTCCCCATTCATGAATTCCATCATCAGTATAGACTCGCAATACCCTTAACTCCATATGGATCCATAACCACATGGATCATTTTCACTCCCTCCCTTTGCCTACCTATAAATTCTCTACTCCACCCACAGAAAATAGAATTTTTATCATACCTCAGTAATTTATTTAACTGTTTGATTCTGGTATGCAGTTGGCACAGTGGTGCACACCTGTAATCCCAGGGAATTGAGACACTTGGGCAGTGTAAACTCAAGGCCAGCCTGAGCAACTTAGCAGGACCCTCAGCAATTTAGTGAGACCCTGGCTCAAAATAAAAAATAAAAAGTGCTGGGATGTAGCTCAGTGGTAAAACACAGAAGCAAAATGTATCCAGAGGAGAAATATATCAACAAAAATGTGTTTGTGTGCAATTTCTTTTGCTTTTAATCTTCATACTCTATTCCTTCCCAGAGTTAAGTCAGGACCTTTTCCCTCAGCTCTTTGGCAGTTATTTTATTCATTTATAATTCAGTTATAATATAATACCTTTAGACTGGTCACAGCCTACATACATTCTTCCCTTTGATCTTTTGAACTCCTAAATGAATTTTTAAAGTTGTGTATACTAATGATTTGCTTTTTTGTGCTGTCAAATTCTATAGGTTTTAGCAAGTACATGATGTCATGTATTCACCATTGCAATGTCATACAGAGTAGTTTCTCTTCCCTAAAAATTTCCCTGTGCTTTACCTGCTTGTCCTATCCCTCCCTCCTGCACCCCTGGCAATCACTGATCTTTTTTATTGCCTTTATAGTTTTACTTTTTCCAGAATGTCATGTAACTATAATTTCACAGTATATAGCATTTTCAATTTGGCTATTTCATTTAGAAGGTTTCTCTGTGTGTATTTTATGGCTTGATAGCTCACTTCTTTTTATCTCTGAGTAATAGTCCACTGTATGGATTTACCACGATTTGTTTATTTGCTCACCTTTCAAAAGACATCTTAGTTGCTTCTAGTTTTCAGTGATTTTATGAATAAAGCTTCTCCAAACATTTGTGTACAGCTTTTGGTATGAATGTAAGTTTTCAACTCAACTGGGAAAATACTGAGTGCAATTGATGGGTCGTATAGTAAGAGAATGTTTAGCTTTGTAAGAATTTGCCAAACTGTCTACTAAAGGAACTCTGTCATTCTGCATTCCCACTAACAATGAAGGAGAGATCCTGTTTCCCCGTCCTCACCAGCATTTGGAATGGTCAGTTTTTCTTTTCTTTTTTTTTTAAATATTTTGTTTTCTTTAGTTATACATTACAGTAGGATATATTTGGACATATTATACATACACAGTAGTCAGTTTTTCTTGTCTTTTTTTTTAAAGGCATATTAATACTGCCTGGGATTCTTCAGGGGATACAAGATTTATTAATGAAGTTGGGAATGTCTTGGATGATCTAGGACATGGCTACAGAGTTATAATATCAGCCCAAATTCAGTCAGGAAAATGGGGCTGCTATAAATAGTTTAAGAATAAGGTATTTAATAAAGAATTAGGGTATTGCTGAGTACAGTGTTGCACACTTATAATCCCAGCAACTTGGGAAACTGAGTTAGGAGGGTTGAAAGTTTAAGGCCAGCCTCAGCAACTAAGTGAGACCCTGTCTCAAGATAAAAAGAGCTGGGGATTAGCTCCAAGGCAAAGCCTCCCTGGGTTCAATCCCCAGAATCCCCCCTCCAAAAAATAGGAAATAGAGAATTAAGGTGTCTGTGAGTAGTAGAGGCAGGAAAAGGAGTTCTGTAATATGTCAACCTAAAACACCAGAAGGAGGAGAAAAGTTGCAGATCGAAGTGGAAATGTCTGAGGAGATGCCAGGTCCGGTCATGATGACACTAAGGAATTTACAGAGAGATTGCAAAACGTATACTAATGTTTTGCTTTTTGTGCTGTCAAATTATATAGGCTGCACCAGACCCAATACAGGTGAGCTGGTGGAGATACCACAGGGTCCTTTCTGACTGCCATGTTCTCCCAAGAAATATTGACTAGCACTTTTTTTCTTACACATTTTTCCCATTTGCAAATGCTAATCTAGAACCCTACAGGAATTCTGGGGGAAATAGCCGTCTGCTTCGTAAGGCAGTAGCGGTGGTGCCTAGCAACAGATAACTACCCCCACACCCCCAAATGCAACCCATGCACATGTATATCATAGTTTATCTTCTCATCTCTAATCCCTTCATATCCTCACTCTCCACTTGGCCATTGTAGCTGTTGTTCCAGAATCCCTCTTACCTCTCTGGATTATTCCACAATTATTACTTCTAACCCTCTGTCTCACATGAGCATATTTCTACAAGTCAAACCACTAGACACAGCACCCTCAGACCCAGCTTGTTGAAGCTCAAGTTGTGCTGACTGACCCCCAACCCCAACCCAGTTCTACCTCCTTCCTGATCACAACCCCATCATCCAGACAAAAAAAAAAAAAATTCAGACTAGAGTCCCTGGAGGCACTTTTAAAATACTTTCCCTCATCTTCCAAGTATACATGGTCTACAAGTCTTGTGGAATCTGTGGTTTTCCTCAAATGAGAGCCATCTTTCCAATTCTTCACTTCTTTCCGTCTCTTCCATCAAAAACATTACCGTGGTAGCCAACTTTCACGTAAGTCTTAATTTTTAGGGCTTTGCTAAAAGTTTAAGTAAAATATCATGATTGACCTCTGACATAATCTGAGGAGGTGAGTATTGTAGTCTTCTCAATGCTACAGATGTAAGATCATCCCCAGCCAGGGAGCAGGTTTGGGGACCACAGGTGTCTGGTTTTCAAAGCCTGGAACCACAGAGCTCACTTAGTGTCATCTAGAACCTGAAAGTCTGTCCTAGATGGCCAGAAGCTCTAAGCTGAATTCTTTCTTCTGGCTTCCCTAGGGACAAAGTGTCAGAAGTGCAAATATCTGGAAACCCCTGAGAAGAAGCTGGGGTGGCAGGCCAAAGGGTGAGGAGAAAGAAGCTCATCAGTTCTCCCAATGGGGAGGGAGCCCATTTCAAGGAGAGTGCCTCATTTGATCCACCTCTCTCTCCCTCCCTTCTTTGCTGGAGGCAAACTCACCCAGGCCTTTGGGCCACTTGTTTTCCAGTGCGTAGGTCTCTGAAGGCCCTGCCTTTGCTCCACTAAACTTTGCTCCTGGCCTCCCGTCTCAGGACTTGGGACTGGAGTGCTTGCTGCAAGGAGAGACACAAGAACCATGAGCCAGGGAGGAGACCAGGTCTCGCCGCATGGTGTGGGCCTCTGGGAGTCCCTGGTCTTGAAGTGTCATGAAGACCAAGCAGGGAAGGGGACTGTTCTACTCAGGGGGATATAGGGTGAAGTGGGGAGTGGTAGTTGGAGAAGCCAAGAGCAAGTCTCAGCAG